TCTTGCTGTGACTAAAACAATGGCATCTAAATCCACACACCAAGACTGAAGGTTGACCGATTATGGAGACATAGCAGCTCTTGTTTGCAATGGATTGTGAATAGTTTTGGGAAATGGAACAATATTGCTGTGAGTTGTAATGCCTAGCTGCAGGCAGTCTTTTAACTCAAGATTTTTTTCTGCTTTGGATGTTTAAGAGAACACAATTAGATACCCATTCAATTATTCCTGCCCCGTTGCAAGGCAAAGAAATCCTCTTTTCTAAAAAATTAATTCACTTAGGAGAATGAGACAACCTTGAGCTGTCTCAGTATTTAATCACTTGAAAAAGGCATTTTGGTGGAAATAAGGAATCCCAGACCCAAGGGTCAGGGCCAAAAGCAGAGGAAATGATGTGTTCAGGTTCAGCCTTCTCCCCACAGGTAGTGCTGAAATGTCTCACGTGGAATTCCTTGTGGTGTTTCCAAATAACAGCTCCTTCTTAAGCTTACTGGGAGAACATCTTGCCACAGGCAAATCCAGCCTGGGCTTTGGGCTGTTGTTTCTCTCCACATCTGCTGTCAGACAGCACTCCCGTCATCCCGGGGAATGGTCTTTGTTTCAGAGGGTGACTAACAGCTGCTGAGCAAGGCACAGGGTGGATTCAGCCTTGAGATCAGAGGGAAAGAGGCACCGTGGGCTTTGGCTGGTGCTTTGGAGGCTCAAGGCCCCTTTGTTTAAAGAGCTCTCAAGATGAAAGCATGTGCCCTTCATTCCTGCACTCTAGCTGGGGCTATGAGGGGAAGATGACGGTCCACAAGTGCGTGACGTGCTTTTGGAGACAAAAGCCACCAGACTTTTGGCCTTGTGCCTCCTCATGAATCCCTGATGATTAATTCCATGATTGCCTCTTATGCACTCAATGAGCTTCTATTCATAGCACAGTTCTTTCAGGAAATATTTTTCCCCAAAGTTTTGGAAAAAAAGTATTGAAAAGTTGTGAGCTCCCTTGCTCAGGAAATGATCCCCAGCACTTTGTGCCTTGCTCAAAGTGCCAGACTGTGATTAGTTTAATTTTCCCTTCATTCCAGTTCTGGGATTAGCCATGTTGTGCTTCACCAGGAAGTGCTGCTGGAGATGAGCCACCTGGTCTAGTGGAAGGTATCCCTGTTCATGGCAGGGAATGAGCTGACGTTTGGCATCTCTTCCAATTCTAACCATTCTGTGATTCTGTAAAAGTCCCTGCTGGTAGGGATGACACTGTTCTCAGCAGTCCAGACCTGCCAGCAGTAGTGATGGCTGCTAACTTGGATCTACTTCGGTAGAAGCTTTTCTGTGCCTGACCCTCACAGAAAATGGAGAGGAGCACATTCCTTCCCTTTTGCAGCCATTTTTTAACCAGCTGAAAGACAATTATCACATCTGTGTTCTGTGCCTCCCCTGGAAGTACTTCTTTAGTCCATAGACAGAAAAAAGTTGAAGGTCACTGCTCTGCACCTACCAATATTAAGCAAAGCACTCTTATTCTGTGAATGCAGTTAGTGAAATCATTCCTGTTTTCTGGGCTGTCTTCTGGTTCTCAGCCTCTCTTTCCCAGCTGCAGTTTGCCATTCCCTTCCCAGGGGCTGAGTGCAGCCCCCTTTCTGCCTTCTGGCTTGGTTTGCTTTTTCTGCACTTGTGTAGCACTGTTCACACAAAAGCAGTTCTGTCTCACTTGATGCCAGTTTCCCCACAGTCCTGGGAACTGAGGCATAATCCTGAATCCCCTAATGAAGCCGTGGCATGTCTTCAGTCCCATACTCATTATGGAGCTCAGGCTATGGGCCTGCTCTGCTGCCAGGCACAATTTCATGCCTGGCCAAACATAAACTATGCCAGGTCAAATGTCTTGGAGCTTAGGTGCTCACCTTTAATCTGCCATTCACTCTTTCTGCCTTATTTAGCAAAAGCTACAATCTCTGTGCAGCTTGCAGGAAAGCCTTACACTAACAATTCAAGACTTTCAGGTAGTATGAAGATGGCAGAAATATTACAACAGCCTTTTCCCAGAGTTTTCTCTGCCTTACATATTCTTTTTGGGAAAATGTATTCTGATGGTGTCATATGAATTTACAAATACAAATTGAGAGTACTACACTGGAAGAGTATTAGAAGCTATTTGCAGTGCTCTGTGTGACAGGGATGAAGGCAGGCAAGCAAAGTTCATGTGCTCAGTGTCCTCAAGCTAAGACTAGAGAAAATTCTAGTAATTTTTAAAAGTTAATCCACTTTTGCTACCCATTAATGTACATCAGCCTTTGCCTTTTCCCAGTACTGTCTTTTTGCTGTAACAGTGATAACAAATTGTTTAAATCAATGCTCCAGCAACCTGACTGCTCTGTTGCTCAGATATTTTTGGGGGAGGTGGGCCAATCCCAGAAGTAATGTTATGGTGTCATTAGCAGTATTACATAAAATAGTCCTCAGGTGATCACAGTGATGCTGAGCAGAGCACTCCTGTATCTGCCCAGTACCAAAGAACGAAAATGACTGGCTTTGGGGCAGTAAATCCAACCAAAACAAGATTTCAGGGAGAAAGATGCAAAATACAGAAGATAAATGTTTGCTAAACGTTGGAACTTGGGAGAAGCGTGATATAGAACTACTAAAGCACTGAACCCAAAAAGTAATATAACTGCTTTTCAACCATCTCTGAGATAATAATGCCCTGGTACCTCTTGTCATCCCAGCTGTGTGTGCTGGGGTGGTGTCAGGCCACGTCACCCAGCCTGTAAAGTGGATGCAGTACATCATTCCTCTTCTTACTGATCATCCTTAGTATTTTAAACCAACTGGAAGATAATTTCTGAAAGATACCACATGACAGGGAGCTAAACATTATAGTGGTGCTGCACTAAAAGGCTCTTTTCAGGAATATTTTTACTGCTTTATTATGGTCCCCAGCTGAGGGACAGACTCCTGGGCATTCACTGCAATGTCTTGGTACTTTTTACTTGGTTCTTTTCTTGTTTCAAGTGAGTCTGTTTCCCATATCTTCCTTCCAGGAAAGAACAACCTCACAGAGTAAAACTGGTGAAATGGTGGCTCCTGATGGCTGGTGTCAGATGGCAAATGCCAGCTCGTGCACCCTGGCTGCTGTCAGTGACCTTTGCTTTTCACCCCAAACCAGAAACAAACAGTATTGTGAAACATCAGAGACCTCTGAAACACATAAAACGTCTTTCACCACCCATACAGCACTGTCAGCTGTGCCAGATCTGCCTCCCTCCTCACCTCCCAAATGCAACATTCACTTCTGAGAAGCTAAGTCTGGAAAGAGTTTGGCTTTTTCATTTAGTTTGACGCTTTTGAAGTAGCATTATTCACCGGAGATGCTTCTGCACGTAGCAGCTTGGGCCATTTGGGGTAAAAGTGAGAAGTGTGTCCTGGAGGGAATGTAACTGTGCTGGGATAGGAAGAGGGATGATGTTTTTCTTCACAGAGAAACAACAAGCAGAAGGAATTAACAAGGTAATAATTGAGCTTCTTGGCACTTTCCTACAAGACCCACATATTCCACATTTAAGAGCCCTGGGAGGCCTTTCTTTTCTTTTTTTTTGGAATGTGAAATATGCCTGTAATGAACACTGGACAGAAGACAGCTGGACAGCAGCAGCTCATTTTGGAAAGCACATCTCTTCCTTTTTGGTTGCTCAACTGGCTTCAGGGTCTGCTCTGCAGCCCCAACCAAGCATCCCCCTGCCCAGAGGCACCTCTGCTCCTCACCTATCCTGGAGCCCCCTCTCCACTTGCACAGCTGTTGGGGCAGGGCTGAACCATGGCCTGGCCATAATGGGGTTAACCTTAAACTGATTTCCTCAGGAGCAAACAGCCACAGAGCAGCAGCTCCCAGAGGAAGCTGGCCGTGTGCCTGCCACTCACTCACAGGATGCCAGGCTGCAGGATCTGAGTGTCCCAGGAGAGGCTGTGACAAAAGACAGACCATTGTGCCCAGCTTTCCTCCATGACTTCAAGGGAGTTACTTGCTTTTATTAGAAATGGAAACTGAGCACCTTATCTAATCCCAGGGACAGGCAGCTGGAGCCCAAGGAGAGGCAGTTGCTTTGTGGAGGGTCTGCCAGTAAAATACAAGATTGAAAACCCCAGTATACATTTAAATAATGTGCTTAGCAAAATGCCACAGCTGTCTGCATGAGGTGCTTGGATGAGAGATGCATATGCTGTAGAGAGAAATTTCTGCTGCATGAAATCTCTCCCTGAGGCTTTAGTGCCTCAAATCCTGCACTCCAGGAGTGCAGTTTTAGAAGTCTCAGACCTAGCATGCAAAGGTTTAAATCCTCTTTGTATCTCTCCCACTCAGTCAATCCTTCTAACAATAAATGTAAGTCTCTCAGCACTGATGCCCTTCCCTGCTGCTGGGAGGGGAAACGTAGCTTACAGACCCATGGGAGGTGCAATCACAGGGCTGCCTGCATGCACCACGTCCCCAGGACAGGGGAGGGGAGCTCCGAAGAGTTCATGTGGTCTGCACACCTAATGGGAGAATCAGATGATATTTTACTTTTCCTTCTCCACAGCAAATACAGGGAGTCACCAAGTTGAGGGTTTTTGCGAATTGTCATGAGATGTATTGAAGAATGATTCAGGCCAGAAATTCCTCCCAGGATTTCATGCTTCAAGCTCTCAATTTGTACCTGATATTTCAAAGCCACCTTTAGAAAAACACCTTATCTTGACTGTGGAGGTAACAAGTCTACCTTTTAGAAAAAGTTTCATATGATGATTATGAATTAAAGGTGCACTCTATGCTTCTTTATCCATCAGAACATTTCCCTTGGCCTGTCACCAGCACCTGCTGCTCACACAGGCTGAAATTTATGCTGGTACAACCCAAAGCAAAGGAAACAAAAGAGCCTCACTACTGATGCTGTAAGCTCAGCTGCCAGAAAAAAAATAGCGTTCAAGGTTATGCCATGTCCACATTTATCATTTTAATAGATCATAAACACATCTCTGTAAAGTCTTAGATTAAATCCTGTGGAGGGCAAGCTAAAGGATAAATTGAATTAAATGAAATCAAATTTATACAGCTTTAGGCTGCTGAATGTCTCTTTCAGTCTCCCCTGCAGATGCTGGATGTAATGCTTTGGATCCTTCATGGAGTTAACCCTATGGTGATCCATGCCCATCAAAGGGATTATGCTAGTTTACATCAGATGAGGATCTCATCTCTAGCACTGTCTGTCCACCTCACATTTGGTTTCATACTGCAGTCAGATTGTAACAGATCTGTTAAAATGCACTGAAACACATAAGAAAATAGACTAGAGGCATGGTGGCACTTTTCCCAAGTCAAGGAGAACTTGGAGCCTCCCTCCACATGGCATATCTGATCCAGACATGTCTGTATACACAGACATGTGATCGAATGAACAGATCTTCAGTCCAACAGGAGTTTTGCAAGGCAGCCCTCGAGTGAGGAAGATCTGCTGAAATGCCAGAGGGTCCATGGGGGCCAGTCTGGAGGGGAGTGTTCCGTGTGCTGCATGTCCCGGCCATGGGGCTCGGTTTCCCAGTGTTTTCCTCCCCAGGCAGAGAGTGGTTTGTGGCCTCAGGTCACAACGTCATGACCTTGTGTCATGCCAGCTCAGCCAGCTGGTTTGTGGGGGAGGAAATAAAACTTGGGTGCTACCACATCCCTGCCCAAGCTCTGCCCCTTGGTTGCTCATGGGCACTAATTATGAGGGAGGATCTTGCTCTGCTGCTGTATAATTATGAAGAGCACAATCCAAGCCTTAATATAGTGCTGAGGCCTTAATATAGCTCTGAGTGAACTGCTTTTGGTTTTCTCCAGTTCTTTGAAAATACATTCAATCTCATACCAAATAGTGGAGCAGCCTCCTAGCACTAGAATCCATATGGAATGTGAGGTGGACACCATGCCTGGGCTGGAGCTGCTGCCCAGGACCTCTCACAGGAGGTTGGTGTTTTGGTGCATCCGTTGCCTTTGGGTTCTGAACTTGGGGTAGCAAATTCAGGAAACTTCTCTTTTTTCCACAGCAGTCAAAAATTTGGGTTTGCAGAGAAGCAAGGTTGGTTAGCAGATTTTGGATCATATGTAGAGGCAGTGTAGGAGGAGGCAGGATGCTGACTTTGGGCCTGTGCTAGAAGCAGCTGATGATTACTGGAACATCAATTTCAGCGAAGAGTGTGCAGCCCTGCCCTCCATCAGAGCTCTCCTGTGCATGGTGCACTTGCCGAAAGATCGCCGCTCTCCTGGCACGGCCCAGCCCCCGGAGCGCCAGGATGGCCAGGACGTGCTCCTTCCTGCAGAAACCAAACAAGACCTGGCTCAGATCTGACCAGCAAAACCAGCCCAGAGGTGAGCAACCAACAGCTGTGCTGGAGACTGAGCAAGGCTATAGCAAAGTGCCAGGACCAGCCCCTCACCACACCCGAGGAGCCACCAGGATGGGAGTCGGCAGCCTCTGGAGGTACCAAACCAGCGAGCAGCAGCTCCTGCCACACCACACTGCTGAGACAGCCTCCTGCTGCTGGTGCTTCGGGGAATTTCCTCCTCTCCCTCCACACCCATGATGCCCTTTGTATGTTTTCCAGAGAGCCTGTGGACCTTTTGTGTAATGATTATTTTGAGATGAGTAATGGAAGTGCTAATATTTAGGAAGCTGATAGGCACTAATTAGGTTAGAGCTGGAAAGCCAACTTGGAAACATAACCTGTTCCAGTAATCTCAGTGTATACAAATTCAGTGATGTCTCTGAGAGCTCAGGGGAAAAATTAACAGGGACCTGAACAGGAAGAAATGTAGGTCCAGCAGGTTCCGCCTCATTTTCTGAACTTCATTGTTAAAAATAATGTTACTCAATAATGGAAAATCAGAAATTAAATAAACCAAGAGGACAAGCCTTAAAACCTGGCTTGGGTCTGAGGCTAATGATGAAAAAGTACCACAAATCCCAGCCTTGTAAATGGCTTTTCTGACTGGAAAATGGTTTTCAAATAGCCATTGTTGATGACTAGCCATCATTTACCTCCCTTATCCTTCCCAGAACCTCTTTCATCTTAGTCTGGCCACCGGAATTAAACCCTTATTGGGGTTTATTTATCTGTTTGGTTTTGTTTGTTTTTTTGTTTGTAGGGAATTTTTTTGTAAGGTAGGTATGTTCACCTAGGAATTACTCAGGAACAATTGTTCCTTTACATGTCCATGTCTTGAATTCCCCCACACAGACAAGCCTGAAGAATATTTGAACCACCCAAGTAAATCTAGTTATGAAAAATTTTGAGCCTCAGTTTTGGGGAGACGTGAATATATTTAATGTGATCTTTCTTCTCAATATTTGAGTGTCTACTTCAGTATTCTAGCGATTAGCTAAATCTTATAGATTATTTTGGTTGCATAAATGTCATCCTAAATCATCATAAATGTCAGTGCTGAAACTTTTGGTGTTTTTTTTTTTCTGAAATTACTCTGATGAAATGGAATTTATTGCAGTCTGTACCACTGATATTCATTCTCAGTGGTTGAAAGAAGAGCTGTAGAAGAGAAGGTAAGGCGAAGAAAGGCTGCTTAGCCATGCACAGAGCTAGTCACTTTCTTTACTTTTCCAGGAGTTTTAAATTTTCCAGATGCAGCCTTGGAACAGCAAACGGAAAGTACAAAAGAAAGAATTTGTAATTTATTCCAAAATTTAATGGTTGTGTTGAGGCCATTTCAGAAACTGCAGCTGAACAGTGTCACTGGCTGCCATGCTTTGAGGTCTGAGCCTGGGAACAGGAGAAAAATTATTTGCTCCAAATCTGGAGCCTGCAAATTGGCAAACAGGGCTGACACTGGTGATGCAGTGGAAAGCGAACTGGAGCTTTACTGTGGAATAAGGATCATTTGGAGCAATAAAATTGAAGTTCAGTGATAGGATGCATGGGAATGGTTCAAAGCTGTGTCAGGGGAGCTCTAGACTTGACATTAGGAAGTATTTTTTTAATGAGGTGCTAGAGCAGGCTTCATAGTGAGGTAGTTGATGTCCCAAGCCTGTCAGTGCTCAAGAGGCATTTGGACAATGCCCTTAATAATTTATATTAACTCTTGGTCAGGCCTGAAATGATCAGGAAGTTGGATGGGTTATCTGTGTAAGTTCCTTCCTAATAGACTGAAATAGCTCCATTCCATTCCATTCCATTCCAAAATGAAAAGGCTTTGAAGGTAATTTGTCTGCATTCTAAGACACAGCACACAGGAGAAAAAAGTATGCAGCCATAAAGGGAGAAAAATAAGTTGAGATTCCCACAATTGCTGGCATCCTGATCTCTAACATGTGGCCATGAACAAAGAGAAGCTGAAGAGCTCAACCCAGGCACAGGGCAAGCTGGTGCTTTTTGGGATGGAGCCCAACAGTTCTGGCATCTGCTGCTTCACATACCTGATATCTGGATAATCCTGGCAGAGCTCCTTGACATGTGCCTTGATCTTGTCTTTTGTCTTCTCCCCAATGATATTGGCAATGTGCTCTATGGAAGGGAGGAGCCAGTTGGCATCAGAGCCCTGTGAACAAAGAATCCCATGGGACCTCAGAGACAGCAGCACCTGCTAAATGCCTTTTTCCCTGCAGCGAGAGCACGGCAGCAGGATGTACTTACTGGTGTGAGCCAGGACTGCTGCAGGCAGGACAGGATGCCTCAGGCAGGCAGCAGGGTGCTGGGTAGCAATGGCAAGGCACCCCTGGGAGCTCTCCCAAGCCTGACCCTGCACTTCCCGATACCCACAAGCACCCAAGCAAGCCAGACCCTGAGCACAGCATTGTGGCTTTGGTCCAGCATAGCAGTAGAAGCCAGATACTTCCTGCTGCCTCACAGTTTCATGTGCCTCATCTCTGAGGTGGGATACTAGTGCCCTGGATACCTGACTTTCCACAAAACCCAATTAATTAAAATTTTACTTCCTTTTCTGAAAATCCCTGACTGATGTTGCTGTGAGAGACAGAAATGTTAAGGGATAATGAATCAACCAACTGCATTCATTGTTTTGAACAACAGACACCTAAACTGCAGCAATCAAGTCTTGTTGCTGGATCCACAGGTGGTGATACCTTTCCCCTCTGCTATATGCTCTTATCCTTTCTTTCTTTTCCTTATATATTTTCCTAAGTGATATTTTTATACTCTTATATTGTTATATTAATATAAGTAATAACCAAAATTGCTACATACCTCCTTTCCATTGTAATCAAATTGTTTTAAAATAAACCAGCCATATATACACACACATCCATCCATCTATCTATCTATCTATCTATCTATCTATCTATCTATCTATCTCTGTCTGTCTGTCTGTCTAATCTCTCTCTCTCTTTCCATCTATATATCTCACACTGGTCACTCAGTGTTGTGCCACTCTAATTTGGCCCTAGGGATTTATTAACAGGTACCTCACTTACCCCACCTTCAGGGGTGGGTTGTAACAGTTGTCCAGTCACAAAACACTTAGACTGCCACCACTTTCTCCCTACACCCTGCTGTACACAGACTGTGTACCCAGATGGAACTTCTCAGGATCCTTTGGTGACAAAGTGCATCCCATGGCCTGAGGGAAGAGGCCCAGGAAGAGCTGCCACAGGATGAGTGTGGTCCTACAGCACATGAACCACCCTGTGCAAAGCTCCCTGGGAACATGTTGAAACCAGGTGCTGCCATCAGAGAGCTGCTGGCTGAACATGCAGAAGCTGCCAATGCAGAGAGGCTGCCAGGCTGGAAACCCACACCATAAACCTGCAAGTAACCACTTTGCTCACTCTCTTTTCAGCACTTTTATTTCTTGAGGCTTGTGCTCCTCAAGAGAAGTGATCTCTGTGAAGCCAAGTGGGAACCTCTGGGAGTGGGGCAGCCAGGGGATGCCAGGAGACAGCTCACATACCTGATCCATGAGTGTGTTGTGAATGATTTCAGCTTCCAGGCTCATCTTTCTGCTCACTTGCTGACGTGTCTCCCTGTTCATTTTCCATCTGGGTTTGATGACCTGTGTGATGTATTCCTTCACCATGTATTTATGAACTTCATGTAGAAGCTCCTGGTTAAAAAGAAGCAAACCTCACGTTTTTTTTGTCCATTCAAGGCCAAGGCAGTCAGAGAGGGCAGGGAAAGCCCTCAGGTCTTCGGCAGCACCTGAGGGCATAGAGGAGGTACAGGAAGGCAGCACACACTCACTCATACCTGCAGCCCCCACAGTTATAAAGAACAACCGCTGTTGCAGAGGAGTCTGCAGGTCTTACCACAGCCTGAAAATGATGGTGTAACCCCTCAGCATCCCTGTGCCCAGGTGTGGGACCGGCTGCCTACCTGGCCCAGGGGCTCCCTCATGTGCTGCAGGTGCTCAGAGAACTGCGAGACTGCCAACGCCAGTGAGACCGGCCTTTCTGTCTCCAAAATCCAGTTCTTGGTCAGGATTTTCTTAAGGAGTGGCTGAAAAAAGACCAACTCACTGATGGCACAGGTATATTCAGACTAGATGATGATGTCCTAGCTGAAGGCACCCACCTATACACCTGATCTCAAGCTTGAACTGAAAGCACAGAGCACCCCCTCTGCATGAAGGCATGAGGAGCAGGCTGGGTTTCTCTCTCCACCCCAGGGAATTCACACCCATGTCTCCCCTTCCTGGGTAGGCATCCCAGTGCAGAGAGGAGAAGCATCACACCCTGAGCAGATGTTTTGACATTAAAGCCTTATTTGGGATACCTCATTTCCTTGCTCTGTGCCACCTTCTGATCCACCAGCTCTATTTCTTTAGGTAAATAAATTTGTTTCTCTAAGGTATTGGGGAAGAAAGAGATGAGAATGTTAATCACAAGCAACTCAGGCATGACTAGAACAGGCTGTGGTGAGCAACTGTGAAAGCCATTGTTACATGGGTTTGCACCAGCTATGGAAACAAGAAGTCACTTGATAGTAAATCTCCTGGAAATTAGCCCTGTAATCCACCACCTCTACAGCCTTCTCCATAAGGAAGTCAAGCTCTTTGTGTTCACAGCCCTTCCAGGAGGCTGTCTGTACTCCTGCAGACCTGCATGAAGTCTTGCTGAGGTTTTCCTTCTGCTCCTTGCTCTGATGTGGTGGTGGGGGGAATGGCAGCTGGGAGCATCTCCAGCTTTATGCCTCATGGGAGTGATGGCACTGTTTCCCATCTGTCCTGGATACAAGGTACTCTGACCATGTGTCCTCAAAAGAGTACTTCCCTTTGCTGGGTCCCTAGAGCTAATGCACCTTCATACAGAAACAGCAATATCTGCAAAAAACTTCTGGCATCTGGAGGAGACTTCCCTAAAGGCCATATGCAAAATATCCTTCCTCTAGCATGTCCCCTTTTCTCTTACTAACTCTCATGATTGTTGTTTTTAGACTCCTGGCAATCTCCTTCCCAATTATTTCCCCCCTTGCTGTGTTCCCAGCCTGCTGGAGAGCTGTTTAGAAATGCTTTGACTCTGCCTCTCTCAGTTCTCACGACATTTCAGCTTTCTTGCTCAATGCCTTGGCTTGGGGCCTTTCCTTGCCTGCTGTTTAGCTCCAAGACAAGATCTGCAGTCACTGGAAAGTCCCCTTGGCTAGGAGGGCATGGTTTAGGTTGGAGAAATTCCATGACTGTCTTGGTTTCTGGAAGTTATATTTGGGGATTTAGAAAGTGAATTAGGATAAGATTAAAGGGATGGGACCAAAGGCTTGATTTCCCCCATCTTCTATAATACCAGCTGGAGCTAGCAGACCCCAGCTGGCTGAGAGCAGAAAGGCTCTGAGAAGCACAAACTCCACTGCAGCACAGTGTTCTTTTAACACAAGCCAAATTTTATCAGAGTTTTATCAGTTGATACAAGACCTTTAGCATCCTCATTCTGGAACAATCAGTCTTTTGTCACCATGTGAACAGCCGAGAAAAACCACCCCTGCCAGAATGAATTCTGTCCTATCCAAAGAGGTTTCTGACAGACTGTGACGGTAGATCTATGAATCAGTAAGTCAAAGTCCAAAAAAAATCCAATGATTTGACAGAAGGAAAAGTGTCCCATTGGTGGTGTACAGCTTGCCTCTCCAGTGCTTCACTTTGGATAAGATTTTCCCCGCTGCTTTGCCTGAGAGACTGGAAGCTGCTAAATATCTTTTTCTTTTGATTGTTATTAACAGCTTAAAAAATGTGTCATTGCTCATGGCAAAAAATTCCCAGGATGCTGGAAGTATTGATTTTTAATGGGGATTTCCACAAGTGTTAAATGCATTTTGGAGGGACCATAATGTCATATGCTGCAAAATGAGGTTTAGTTGGTGAGACAAGGGAAGGACAATGACCCTCAGCTGCTGCACATAACCCTTATATTGAAGAAATAATGTGGCCAAGATCCCCTTACCTGTGTTTTTGTTCTTAATTTTGTTAAAAAATGATTTGTGAAGTTCCTTGTCAGAGCTGCCAAAATCTTCTGCAGTTCCTCAGTATTGACTTTAAACGCTGTTTCTAACCCTGACCTACAAAAGGACAGAGATCACCAATGAGTTAATGTTAAAATATAAACTATTACACAGCTCTAAGGGTGTTATCTGGATTGGCATGTTGGATATTATTTTTAAATAAACTTGTGTTTCTACTACTTCCTCTTGGAAACACTTGCTGAGTCAAAGTAATGGCTCTTTTTGCACAATCCTGTACACTGAAAATTAATCATAGATGAGTAACTGTGGTTAAAAGCCCCCTCAGATTTCCTCATCAGGGGGGACAGTGCAGCCATGTGGAGCAGTTGCATAGGCCAGTTGCTTTTTCACTCGAGCAACACCTCTGTGAAATGATTTCCTGGTACCTGGGTGAGAACTGAGGGCTGTGGGGAAAAAGTAAATAATGAAGCCATAGAAGGGAAAGCTGCTGACACTGTGTCCCCCAGAGCCTGTCTGATTCACTCCATACAATGTCTATCAGCAGCAGCTGGGATGGTAACTACAGGGATGGAAACCTGTGGAATTTCCTAAGGACAGTGCATACTTCTGCAATGTTTCACCTTTTGAGAAAGAAAACTTCTGAGAGGTTAATGAAATACCCAGTGTGTGTGTGTGTGCACTTTAGGGACATTGTGACCTCCTAACTTTCTTCTCACTTTCCATCCCTGTCCGACTGTGACATGCTCAGTGTTGGTGAGGGGGGGAACTGAGGCAGCACCACCACAAAAAAAGGCATCACCAGTGATGCCTGAGCATCCCTGGATGTGCCACATCCACTGCTGTAAACAGAGAGACCAGAAGGTTCCTGTCACTGCCCAGATTTATGTGTCTGAGGCTGCCCTGGCAGGACTATGAAGAACCCAGCACCATTCCCTGTCATTCCAGGCTGGAGCTCAGGACTGTAACTCCGGTTGAACACCTGAAGTCTGGGTCCAGCAGCCAAAAATCGTGCTGTTAGGACACCTACCTCTGCCCCACTACTCATCACCCCAGGCTGATAAACGTTTAACTTGAGTCAGGGATGAAGCCATCACCCAAACACTGCCAGCTCCCTGCCCGGGGCTGGCGTCTCCCTTCTCCCCCTCTGCACTGCTCAGCAGGAAGGGGCAGCAATGTCCCGCGGGGGCAGTAGGAGGCAGGGAAAGCCATTTCCTCGGCGAGGTGAGCATTGCTGGAGAGACCGTGCCATCTAGAGCCTTCCTGGCGGTAGTGCTCGCTGCGGCTGGAGCCGTCTGCTCCTGGGAGACACCGAGCACGAAATCCCCTCCATGCCCTGAAGAATACCTGATAGATGAGTCCCAGCCGGAGCAGGGGCTGCAAATCACAACCCAATCTTTCTGGTGGCCAGAGCCCACGCGCTAGTCCTGTGGTGATTTGCCAGAATGACAAACAAAAGCACCACATCTGCACGGCAAAGATGATGCTGAGATGATGCTGCTGAGCCTCTGGGCCTCAGCACGGGGCTGATGGACCAGACCCTGGGACATGCACTCACTGGCACCATCCTACTTATGGGGTGAGTGATAGACCTTTCACAGCCAGCCTGATGATACCTGTTCATCAGAGGCACTTTCCAACACGTGGCTTGAAAAACTAATTCATGCAAAGCCCTGTAATTCCAGATGCCAGTGGCAATGGCAAGCATTTATTTTCAGGTCGAGTGCTTTCATAGATTTTCCTGTAGCCCAGTGCCAAAGGCAGCCTTGAGGCCATGATTCTGAGTTTATTCTGCTAACCTCCAGAAAAAAAAAAAAAAAAAGGAAAAACTGCCCCCAAGGATGAAAAAGATGCTCTGAAAATGAGTTCAAAACTCTCATGCAAGCACTGCATCCATCCAAATTTCTGTCTCTTCATCCTTGTGGCTTTTTTTCACATCCCTTTGGGGAAATCCTCCCATAAGATTAGAAGGTCTGGAGGCTGAGCACCCACTAGGGCACCTGAAGGAGAACTTGGTCTTTCCAGCCACCCTCCCCCAGACCCCAGAAACGCCGCAGTTCAGCTCAGCGGGAGCAGACTTACACCAGGTCATGGAAACTGTTGATGTAGGCAACAAGATAGGGCACAAAGATGGGGCTGTCCTGGGCAGTGCTCCACTCCATGAACTCCTGCTCAAACCTGTAGGAAAATACACCCAGGTATCACTAACAGTGGGGGCACTGAGGATGCCTCATCTTCTGTGTACGTGGTGGTGCCAGGAAACACCCGTGGCTGGCCCAACCTGTCCCCTCTGTATGCAGACAAGTTTTTTCCAGCTGTCATAATGTGTGTGCAGTGGAGGGGAATAGATGGCAGATAATTATGGTTTAGGATGTGCTCGCCTGAGCAGGTATGCAGCACTTCTGGAGAGATGCCAGGGATGTTGGGAGGCCAAATCTCTGACTTTTCCTCATGCTGAGGGTTTAATTGCAGGTATGGTACACAGGTTTATAAGTCTGAGCCTTAATTTCTCTGGCTTTTGGGGCAATATATATATTGGGGCCTTTTAAGCACACAGGGCTGATTTTATAACAGGTTTATAGGAATAGGGCAGCACACCTACCTTCCCTCCCCCCCACCCCAAAACCTCAGCGTGGCTGTTAGGTTTGTTTTTTGTGTATCGCCAATTTCATGGGGTTAACAGCTGTTTCACAGCCAGGTCCATGCTGAAGGCAGTGTGCTCAGGCAGGCTTTGTCTGGTGGTTCCATTCTTTGTTAGGGTAAAAGAAACCTGCTTGAACTGGCCCCAGCTACTGGCATCTCAAGTTTGTTTAAGTAAAAGCTTAAGTTTCACTGTTCACTTAATCTGAGAGCCATGGCTGCCCCAGCTTGCATTTCACACAGTTTTTTTTTTTAAAAAAAAAGGAAAAAAAGAAAGAAAAGGAAAAAAAAATAAGGGAAAAAGAAAGAGAGAACAAAGAAAAGGGAAAAGAAGAACAAAGAAAAAAAGAAAAATCATTATTTCAGCAATTTCCTTTGGATACTGGGCAAATTTTAATGGACTCAGGAGGCAGCCCAGCTGTATTTTTGCCAGGGTATAGCAGAGAGGGTCTCATGAGCAATTTTTTATGCCCACAGCCATGGGATGCCAGAGAAAACCACTCAGCAGGACTCACCCCAGGATACCTGGATGATGTTTTGGGCAAACAGGCTTTTGGTCTTAGGGGTCCATAACAATTGCTTGCTCACAACTGAAGCTGCAAGTGACTAGCACCCAATGTCACAAAAGTCCTGGGTGGATGGGACTGCAGTGGTCCTGTCCCTTTCCACATAGCAGACACTTCCCAGACCTCTGACATTAGATCTTTGGACTCCAAGAGTCCCATCTGGGTCTATTTATGACTCCCTCCAAGTTGTTTTGCAGCTTGCTTATAACTGGGCTCATTGTGATCTCTAATTCCCCCAGGAGCAGCCAGTGTCTGATCCAGTGCCTGGATCTTTTCCCTCTATTTTTACCAATGTGGGACTCATTTAGTAAGAAAGTGCTGCCCAGAGCAGTGATGACCTTGGTATGAATTCGAGCAGCTCTGCCATGCACAACTCAAGCATTTTTGTTTCCAGGCTTCTGCTGATAGCTCCAGATAACTTCACGTGCTGCCCGATGATCTAGAAAAGGGGATGAAGAAACTCCAGTGAGTGGGACAAGCATCTTTCACAAGGATCTCATGCAGCTTTGGTCAGTAAGAATGGCTCACCTAGCAAAGGGGCAAACAGCCAACTTGTTGCCAGGAGATTTTCATTAATCTCTGGCAATTTAAAAAATTATAATGCAGAATGGACCAAGGAGCACCAAATGATTTGTGATGTAATCATTCACCCCTCGTGCCTCGTGCCCTTTTTTTGTTTGAGTGTGAGTTAGAGGTGGTGTTGGCTGGAGTTCTGAGGTGTCCTGGTGTCATCCTCCTCTTTTGGGGAGAATTGCTGGAGGGATCCCAACCCAAAGCCCAAGGGGAGCTGAGCTGTCCCTGTGTATGACCCCACGATAAAGGTGACTATAAGCCCCAGCCCTGAGGGTCCACACAAGCTCCATTCTCAGGAAAGCACAGAGCGTCAGACATCACCCTGAGCTCTTGTTTGCACTGGAATTCCTTCCAGATTCCCATTCCCACAACTCCAGCTACACTTCTGGACTGAGGTGTGTTGCAGTCCTATTCTGGTATATCCCATGCCATTCTATCCATCTGCTAAATCAATTCAGACCGGCCTTCCCTATGATCGCATAATGTGTAATATTCCTCTGTGGAAAAAGAGTCACATTAGCAGAAAAAACTCTTTGATTTTCTTTCTTTTTCTCTCCCTCTCTTTTTCTGCTAGTATTATTTAATTGAAGTGACTCAATCAATTGAGTGATGAGAATTAATCCAAACCCTTCCTGCCTTTATTACCCCGTAGTCCCTAAAGCTAGTAGGGGCTTTTGTTTTTTGTACTGCTTAAATTGGAGTGGCTGTCACTGCCTACAGCCTTTCCCCAGCTTCCACAGCCCTGGGACAAAGTTGCTCTTTAAGCCAAAGGTTTTTTCAAAGAAACCTTTTCTTTCCACCTTTTTTCCAATTCTCTTTCTTCTTCCTAATCAAAGAGGTTTAGGGACTTTAAAATCAGTTGCCTATTATGTTGCTGACACAATTGACAGCAGGTTTAATTTGCAGCTAGAAGGCAAGCGGGAGAGCTAAAAGTTGTAATAAATGGCATTTTCTGCTCTAATGTATTCTGCCAGTATGTGACTTACATAAATTATCACAGGAGGCGGTACCTCCACCCCTGAAGGAAAAGATCCAGCTTCTATGGAGCCACAGAGAACCCCCCACCACCACCACTTTCCCCCAGATAATTAAATACCGTTTGAATATCAAAAGAGAGTGAGGTGTGGTAGAGGTTTTCCTTCTCTTCTGAATGAACTTCCTTCTTCCACTTCTCTGTGACCTCTAGTCTCAGGATGTTTCCAAAATAACTTTCGATTTTCCCCTAAACATTAAACATAGGAAGGAAACATGCAGCTCAGGATAATGAAGCAAGCAGGAGTACAGTACCTCGCTGCATTTTGCTCCATCAGCACGTGGTGAGGCACCATGCACCACATGGAAAGGTGAGCAGTCACAGGCCTTGCTCCAGACCTCAGGAGAAATCAGGAGCTGCGCTATGTTTGTGCAAGATACTCCCAAAGCAGTCATTCTCCTGGCAGGGAAACTGTGTCAGCTGTTTGATTGCAAAGTCCTCCCGCACGTGGAATGCACCAGGTCAGGATTAAAGATCAAACCAGTCCTGTCCAGGGTACAGCCAGTCAGATAAGCAGCAGCACTGTTCAGTCCTGGCCAAAAAATCAATCTTGTTGCTTGGTGAAACAAAGCACAGTGGAGAAATACTGATTTCATTCAGCTGGGTACCTTGAGCTCACCTTGAGCTGTGCCCTGATTCAGAAATGATTTGCAGGAAAATGTCTGAGCCCAGCAAAGAGCCAGGAAAGTCTTACATAGCATGCCAGACAAGGACTGCAGAAAGACAATGGGGAAGTGGCTTCATCTGAGGACACAAACCATGAGTGTGTCCCCTGGTGGGGATGCCCAAAGTCTGCCAATAGGAAACCTCAGATGTCCTGGAGGAGATCCCACAGAGTGGCAGTAGCTGCTAAAACGCATTTGCCCCTAACTTTGCAACGTGTACAATCTGCTGAAGCCCAGCTATGACCTTTCAGTAAGTGTCTGCCATACTGAGTGGGTCTGGTACAGTCCTGTTGGCTCTGCTTGGGTCCCCAAGGTGGTATTCAGGAATTTTTTGCTTTAGAGTACAGTCCACTCTGTGTGGGGCCAGTAGGACTCAGCACCTGCTGGGGCTGGAAACCACAATGCAGTCATCCAAGTCTGGGAGGCTGGGATTCCTGTACCTTCCCTGGGGAGCACATGGGGACTAGGTCAAAACTCTCACCTTTGCAGAAGCAATGTAGTCGTTTTTCAGCTTATCCCAATCAGCTGGTGTTAACAGCAAGGACAGGTTTTCTGTCTTAATCTCTGGTTTGAGCTGGGGATGACCCAGAAAGTGTTCACTGGAAAGAATCAAATGAACAAATTATAATGGCTCAGAGTGTGAATAAACTGATAGAATATTCATGCAGCGTGAGCTACATAATTATTAAGCCATGAGAAATATACTTAAAGCTTAAATTGTGCTGCTTGTTTTCAAGGTTTAACAATAAAATCTTTCCTTTCTATTCAAAATCCTAATTATTCAAACCCAAAATGATCTAAGGTTCCAGCCCACTTCAGAAATCATGAGACTTCTGAGTTGTTTGGACATGAAAAGTGCTATGAGAATTTACTTTTTAAAGTAAACAACGTGAAGCTGATTCATTTGACTAGAAGCCTGCAAAATGCCTTTCAGGGTAATTCCTGTAGTAGTGCGTTGCTTTGGAGTTAGCCCATCTCCCTGCCTCCTCTGCGGTGTCGTATCACAGCTCGTGTCAGCCTGTGATTTGTCTCCGTGCATTATCCTGAGCCAGGGGAGGTGGCAGAGCAGGACCTGGAAGGCACTGCCATGCCTGGGACACGAGCCATGTTCCCCTGCAGATGGAAGGGGTGGGTGGACGTGCAGCTACAGAGCCTGACTCCAAAGAGGGCTCAGCTGACATGTGACTTTGCTGCTCACTTTCCTCTGGACTGACATTTACTCAAGCCAGCTGATTAGCACAGAAGCAAGGGAAGGGAGGGAGTGCCTGTGTTCCTCTCTCTGGGGCAGGAAAAGCGTTATTAGCCTGTACAATTGAATGTGCTACTCCTGCAACCTGCTGCAGACTCTGGAGGCACTGCATTTTGGAGGGCTGTGAAGGCAGAAAAGAGAAAGAAGAAAATATTTGTGCACTTGATGAAGGTGGGGCCAAAGTTTTGAGGCGTTGTTTGTTAATCTGGGAACACGGCTGCAGTGTCCTGCACACAGCCTGCACATTTGCTCAGCCACCGAAAAGGGTTCCCCTTGCCACAGCAGCACTGCACCCACAGTTAGGTTCAGATACAAGTGAGGACTGTAGTGTAAAAGGTCAGGCTGCTGCAGAGTGACTGCTCAGCAGAAGATAAGTTCAGCCTGCTGATAGTGTCCTGGAGTCAGTGTTTCCATGGTCATGGTTCAGATTTCCCAGAGAGGAACATCTCCACATGTGGAGCATTGCACAACCCAGCTGCTGCCAGAGCCTGCTGCTCATTCTAAAGGACAACAAACTCTCCACCACAACTCAAAGGACAGTCTCAAATGTGTACTCAAGGGGCTTATTCCCACCTCTTTTTTTTTTTTCTTGTTTTTCATTTGTTTGAATTTTATCATCAATAATGAATTTGGGTCAATCAATCTCTTCCTTTTTGATTATTTATTCCAAGAGACAATGAAGTTTTTTTGAATGGGAAAATCAAATGGAGGCAGCCTAGAACAGCCAGGTGATTGCAAGGAGTGCCCAAAACAATTGCAAACTCTCAATAAACCCTCCACAGCAATTTAGAGAAATATGGTAGGGGCACTTTTCTTTGGTACAGAACCTGGCTGCTGAAGCTCATTTCTTTCCCTGCTCTCCTGCGATGCCAGGGTGGGGCCATGCATGAGTTCCCTTCAGATGAGATCTGCAGGGATTTCTGATGCTGACAGGGTTACATACATCACTATGGTCACCACACTCTAGGTGGGGTTTTAAGAACAACTGGGTAAGTTCACAGGAGAAACCTGTTGAGGGCTGTTCAAAACAAAGACCACCTGCAGTGCAAATGTTTCTTACCCAAAAGCAGCCTCAGGCTAGGGGTGTTCTTGAAACAGGGTGCTGCTGCTTGCCCTGCTCTGCCACTGCCCCCTTTCTGACCATCTGGACCCACTGTTTGGCTCAGCGCTGATTCTCCTGCCTTCGCTCCTTCTTTGTTTTATTTGAGGGCTGCCAATGGGTTTGTGTTTGTCCCTGCCTTGAACATCTGGTTCAGGCCATATCTGGAAGTCACCTACCAGGACAGACACCAATTTTCTTTGACGTAACTGTTTTCACATGCTTATTTTCCAGACCCTGAACTGCAAGGAGCTGTTTCTTAAACCCCTCCCATTCAACCAGCGGACACATCTGAGACAGAGCCTTTGTTTTCATGTGTCTAATTACCCTCGATGATGCCTTGACTCCTCTTTAAGGGGACTCTGATCCCATGCATGGGGATTAACGTGGCCCATTTCCAAATGCATGACAATTTTAATTAAACAGGAAGAAGACCTCCCCCACAGGCCCCTGCCTGTGCCTGGAAAAGTCACTGAACAGCTGTTAGATCTTGCAAAATATATACAGAAAGGAACAGGTTTATCAGAGCAGATTTATCAAATGAAGGGAGGAGCTTCCTGGGAATGGGAACAGCAGGAGGGAGAGGGATGGGAAAATGGGGTGATGTAGATCTGTAAAAAACAGCAAGACTTTTATCCACAGACCTTTGTCCCCACCTATTAACAGATTTGCTATCTGACTCCACTTGCTTGGAAAACTGAGAACAGCTTGGTGATTTTGGAGTACCCCACAGCCCCATGGCTCCCTGGAGGAGGCAGAGGCACTGTGGCAAACCCAGCAGCTCACCTGTGGTAGGTGTTGGCTACCCAGTCAAGCAAGGTGTAGAGCTCATGGAAGTCCAGTGGTCCCTGGGAGAGTTCTTGCAAATGTGAGGCAATGGCATTGTGAAAAGCTTCCACATATGTGTCACACACCTGGTACTCCTCTGGATAGCATTCTTTCACTGATGACTTGACTTTCAGTAAATCTTCCCTCAGGTGTTCCTGGAGAAAATGTAAATGGAGATCAAGCCAAGAAGTTGCGTCTTCCCTTGGTGCCATGGGTGCCTTCAGGACTCTTTTCCTTGCACTCTCGTTGACAGCTTGCTTCCATTGCTCCCTCCACTTTCTGGGCCTGCCAAGCAAATCCGACCCAGGACGAGCAGTATTGTCTGTCTTGGGATGAGCTGCTTCTTCGTGGGCAATTAAAGTCACCATGGAGGTCAGCATGGTATGCTGTAAAGTGGGATCCTCCAGTGTTGCCTCCACTATAGACTGGATTGCATTTGTGATGGAGTTATAAAGTAAATCCACATCCTTGGATTTCCGTACAAACTCCTGGGGGTTATCACTGTATTTCTCAGAATCCCGTTCAGAGATAGTCTCGTCTTCCATTAACTTGATACTTGCAAATGCTTCCAAAAGTTGTCTTTTCTGAATAAGTTCATTGATTTCCATTACTGCAGAAACAAGGGGAAAGGGGTTGGGACAAAGCAGGCATTAGGCTATTGACAGGTTGGTAACAGGATAAGATGCCTGACAGGGAAACTTGCAGGGGGCTGTTCAGAGTAGTCAGGTCCCAGCAGTGCTTCTGAGACTGCCCCTGGGCCTCCCTGATCTCTCCAGCTCCTGTTTGACACAGGAGAGAAAAACAGTGGGAAAGCAATCACTGCAAATTGAGGCACATCCCTAAACAGCTGGTTACAGAGACAGGAAATATCAAAAAAACCTGCTGATAGCCCTGCAGGAAGGCCCCAAGCAATGGCTGGTGAGGCTGCACAGAGGGATGCTGGAGGCTCAGGATGCATAAAACTGCCTCTGGAGTGGAGATGAGGTGGAACTGGCAGCAGGAATGGTTCAGGATATTCCTTACCAGCAGGATTTCCTTTAGCATGGATGTCCCTGCATACCACTGTGCTCAGCACAACTCAGCTGCTGTGCTGGCCATGGTGGTGTAGCCCAGCTCAGGCATGTCTGGTTGAAAGGGCATTTCAGTGTGCTGCCCAAGAGGGCAGGGAGAGTGCCCAGGGTTCTGGCTGGGGTAGTGGGAGGGAGCACAGCAGGACAGACCCCTTTGGGTGTCCTGACCTCTTGGGTCAGATCTCTCTCTGGATGGTTGTGCCTGTCCCAGACTACCCACAAGCATGTCCTCAGAGATACTGGGGCCCCGAGTGAGCCTCCTGTATGTATGCCCATAGTCAGGTGCCAAGCACAGCCTCACACCAGTGATGTTTATCTCCCAAGTGCTGAGCACTGCTGTCCCTCAGTGGTCTGGGGAGATGTGGGCATTGTAGGGGCCTAAACTTGTGGATTTGTGATGCTCCTGGTGCTCAGGTCTCACGTGGGTTTTCTCCACCTCCTTTGCTTTTGGCACCTACTGCCAGAACTGGCTGGTGTTGGCTGGGGAGAAGTCACCCAATACTGCTACCCCCAAAGTGGCTGAGGTCTACTGAGTTTCCCATTTGTTTTGCAAAGTCTTGCTCATGCAAGAACCACTGCCTATTTGCCAGTAAGGTAAGAAATATTTGCCATGTGTTGAGGAGATCCAGGAGCATTTAGATTTTGAGAGACCCTGCGAAGCTCTCACCATCTCCAGTGTTGTAACAGATGCTCTGAACAGGAGATCCCACTCTGACACTGGGCAGAAGAAAAATATTAGAGATGGGAAAGGGTGTCCTTTAGGCAAGTGTGACCACTGCTTCTGGGGCATACACATACAAACTTATGTGGAAAAATTGGAGAGCACTCAAAGAAGGGCTGGTTCATAGCACATAATTTCTGCCCGTAGGCTTGTCTGCACACAGGTTTTATACCATATGTACCAAGTAATCTTTGTAGCATAAGAGTATCTGTATGAAGACAGAAATATGCCAAATAACCCAACTATTGATGCATCACAAAACACATAGATCTTTGAGTGCATATATGGTGCTACAGTTGCTTCTGCACTCAGAAGGGAGGAAAATTCTACCAATTAGATTAGTCTCTTCTAGATAAATTAATATAAAACCTGTGTTTACACAATTGCTTGCAGTGAGAGACTAGAGGAATACATTCTGTTCTGTTTATCAAAGTGAGAAAACACCATTTAATCACCATCTAGGATAATTATTCAGGGAGGTGATGTTGGGTGCTAAGTGGATCTTTAATTCCGCAATACAAGATCAGCCAGCTGGTGGTGGAAAGAAGACAATTGAAAGGCAATTAACTATTATGCAGCTTAATGGTGCACGTGGTGGAATCTCCATCACTTGCCATATTATCTCAGGATGGGATATGTTTCCAACAGAGCTGCTCTAGTCCAGGCCAAACACAAGCTATTGGGCAGAGAATGGGCCTTATTTGTGCAATTTCTCAGCTTCTTTATTTCAGAGATCAGAAAGCTTGTGGTAACATTTTCTGCCACTCCTCATCTATGACCCTTGGAGATCAGACAAGCAAAGTTTACGAGATGAGCTCAGATGCAGTTTACCAAGCTCACAAGGTATCAATGTAAAGCAGTAAATCACTTCCCAGCACAGTAAAGTGTATTACAGCAGTGAGGCTGTGTCAGCCCATGCATCTGATCCCTGTGGCACACTATCTGTAGACCAAGAATTTCTTTATAGAAATTCAGACTGAGGAAAGGCCAAGTGATGTTGTTTCACCTCAGTCTGTCTCCAGGTGAATGCATTGCAGCACCTCTGCCTTGAGAAGGTGGAAGACAGTACCATGATCAAAGTCATTGCAGTCTGCTCACACCTGGGGAAAGGTGAGAGCTATGCTAAAGGGAATTGTTATAATTTGTCTGAGACCAATCTATAAAATACTGACAAAACACATGAGGCAACCAGCCTGAGGAAGACAGAAATCAAACACTTGGAGCACTGCTGTTGTGAGGACAGGCGGAAAGTCAATGCAAGAGAGCAAAATATCTGTGGAAGTCTCTTTGCAAGGCAATCTCTAAGATTAGGAACCAAAGTGGAGCTTCCAAACCAGATCATAGCCAAACCATCTTTCTTCCCCTCTAGGCCTTGCAGCACCCTACAGAGCTGAAGAGCACAAATTGTCCAGGACAGCAATGCAGGCAGTAGCACACTGCACTCGTAGGTATTGTCAGCAGCTCCCAAACCGTGCTCAGCAGCTTGGTGACTGATATGTGTGATGGGCAATGTCACTCTGACAGGTTGATGCAGGCTGCTGGTATGGCTAAGCTAACGCAGAGGAGGCCACAGAGCAGCATGTTCAGTGACAGAGGCCTGCCCAGGCTGGGCCAGGTAACACCCAGTGGGTCCATGCACGGGGTGCAGTTACCTCTCCCTTGTGAAGGGATGCCTGGCTCTTTAGCACCTCTGTTGGGCCCAAGCCTTGCACACTGTAAATTATTGTTATATTTATCCTGGCAATAAAATGGCACTGGTGGTTTTGTGTCTTACCTGAAAGAGGTTTTGCTTCAATGGGCTCACATATCTCATCAACCTTCTCCACGCCGTCACAGACTGTGGGTTTGTTCTCCTCGCAGCTCCTGAGCGTTCGCAGAAGTCTTTTTGCATTCCAAGTGCCAGTACCTTCCTTCCCTCTCTCTTTTTTCAGACTTAGTCTTGATTTCTGGATACTTAACATTGTTTTAATACCTCTTTCAAAGAACCCACTGTCCCTCCTCTGCGAATCTGAGGTGCTCAGCTCAGAAGCAATCTCCATCTTTTCCTCCCCTGGACTGCTCATTGGAGAGGCTGGTTCTGAGGTCACACTCCTTATGTCTAACTCCATATTTCTATTTATCTTGTTTTTCAACAGGAGGTTTCCCAAACAGGTTGATGGCAATCACTGAAATGCATAAAAAATCAGAATTAGAGATGTCCTTAACAGGGTATTAGTGTGTCCCCAAAGTGGAGTCCTAGACTGAAAGTCTTACCCATTCCTTTCCTGTGCCTAAATACAAGGACAGAGCAAGATGTTGTAACCTGGAGCTGCTGAAACAATCTCTCTACCCACAGACAGCAGATGCTGGCCTGGTACTCTGGAAAGCTTCACTTTACTCCATAAACCAGGCAAGTGGCAACTATTTCTCCAGCACCAAGGAATCATGAGATGTCAGAGATGTTAAAATCTGTGTAAATGTACTATTTCAATGGTTTTACTTTCCATTCTTCTAGATGCATTTCCAGCCTTGCAGAAATTCCTGAATCTCACTGTGTTGTTTCCACTTCCTGATGTGAGTATGGCAACTGTGGATTTCGTTGCTACTTCTGCCCTGCTCAAACCCCGAGCTGCTGCTGCTGGAGGTGGCCCAGGGGTGAGTGGATCCCAGCAGGTGGCTGAGCTCTGCTTTAGCCCCTTCCACCAAAGCCACAGCTATCTCTGCACTCTGAATCATCATGACTACAGCACAGGAGACAATATGAGGCCTCAGAGCACTGCATCCCAACAGGCCAAAGACAGGTATCTCCAAGGCCAAACAAGCCTCTGCACAAGCTGGGAGGGGATGCTGCAGGAGATTCCAGATTCCAGCAGAAGTGCTCCTGTCAGTGCTGCTGGGCTGCAGCCACAGCCTCTGTGCTTGCTCAGCTCCTGCCCTGCTGCAGACAAACTCCCCTCTGCACACCCTGAAGGCTGGCCCAGGTGTTTGGGAGGAGGGAGGAGAGAGGTTTTGCCTTCCCTCTCTTGCAAAGGGACCACCAGCTGTTACAGCCCATTCACTGTACATTGCAGTGCCCCGAGGATGGAAAATGCCACATTTCTCCAGAGCAGGCTTAAGCAGCTGAGTGAACAGTTAAAATTATTAGAAACAGCTATTGCTTGAGGTGACACAGGAACTGCCTGTCTTGGGTCTGTCCAGCCCATAGAATCCAGAGCTTGAAAAATGATTGCAATCAATAGACATGTTGGGACTCTGGAAATAGATTTCATCCTGCCTCAGTCAGGGTTTTTCTCCCTTGTGCACGGTTATTTCACAGGCTGTGAACTGCAGGGATGGCATTTTCCCATGGGTTTGCTGAGCTGCTCCCCCAGTGGGGCTCAGAGCCTGCCGCAGACACTCTCACAGGAGGGAGTATTTAGCCATTCACTGCCTTGCTCAGGAGCTCACCCATCACAGCCCATACAGAGGGTGGGAGGGAGAGGAGGGCACCCACTGCCCAGGGATTTCAGTGAAAGGAGGCTGAGATCTCAGCTCAGGCTCTCCATGGGGGTTCTGCAGACAGAGCAGAGCAGCAGCAGTGGTCAAAGGGGTGACCTACATGGTGGAGAGATCCAGAGGAAAAGGAACTAAAGGTGAGCCCATGAGAAAGGAAAGGAATACGTACCCCAGTATTGACTGAAGTGATCCCTGCCGCAGCAAGCTGGGATAGCACGGGTGTGAGCCACAGAAGAGAGAGCAGCTCCGTGCTGCAGGAAATCCAGTGCAGATGCAGTGGCAGGTGAGCAGTGCTGCAGGACAGAGGTCCGGGCCAGCTCACCCACCTCAGCTGGGAGCACCATCCCTCACACATGTGCCGGCTAAGGGGCTCCCTCTGGGAATGCTGCTCTCCATCCTCCTTTACCCTCTGAGAAGGGATGCTAAAAGTGTAAAAAAAGCCTTGTCTGCACCTGCCCAAGAGCTCCAGCACCTTCACCTGTTTGATCTCTGGAAAAGACTCGGTACCACTGTTTCACTTTCACTATGTCTGAGCATTTAAAAGAAGAGGTGGGGAAAATAATTTCAAGTTAATTATTACCCTACAAGTGGAGATGGGGCCTTGAACCAGAAGTTCTATGATGGGCTGAGCTGCTCCCTTGAGATGGCCTGGGGCAATGAGGGGAAGGAGGATTTCAGGATGAGGTCCTGTCCTGATGGGCTGAAGCCCCACACTATCTGGGTAGAGGGGTTCAAAAGCAGCCCCAGAGCTGCCTCACCCCCTTCTGCACTGTTTCTGCAGGTCACGGGTGGCTTGGTCCCAGTAATGATTGCCAGACGTGGGTGAGGGACAGGGAGTAATGTGTCCCCTGGTTAAATATTTATATATTCACATCCTCACTTTGCCCTGTGGGCACTTATTTCCATGGGGTTGCTAGCTCTGGATCCTTCCATTCTCAGAGCATTTAGGAACTTTGGAGGGAACTCAAAGCAAAAGAACACAAAAATAGGGGCCTTGAAGGTTTAAACAACATTAAACACAGTCACTTGTTTTGTCACTGAGTTGTGCAAGATGATTTAACCCTGGGGCTCCTTTAGTGCCCAGACAGAGGCAAGTCAGGCTGCCAGGTGTCCAAGGTCCTGGTGTAAAGCAAAAGGGGTAAATCAGGAGGTGCCACCATGCCATAGGCAGTGTGCACTTCTTTGCTTTAGGAGCCTGCCAACATAGCACCTGTCAGTGTGATAAGGGACATTGGAGGGGTTAGTGATGGGTAGATGCAATAAATGACATCTGGACTTTGTGCTGTGCAGAGGAGAACAGAGGGAGAGAGAGACAGAGGCTAACAGAGACTGTGTGTCCACGAGATGGAAAATGTGCAGGATGGGAATAATTATGATCATGTCAAACAGGGAAGCGTGGCAGCATGGACTTGGTGTGAAATTTCCCTGATGGTAAGATGGGGCTGGGCAGAGCATCATTTGTGCCTGCCCCATGGGGCAGGGGGAGTCTTGCCTGAAGCCTCCCTCTGCCAGGCAGTGTCATGCTGAGATTTCTGTCCTTGAGCTCTTCAAAGTCATGGGTAAGCCAGAGACTGCCCTTCTGTACTGGGGAAAATCAGTAGAACATTACTGATAATGCTTCTGCTACCTGGCAGGTTGACAATGTGAACAAAGAAAGGAGCTATTTACTCAGGCATAGGTTGAGGAGTGGAAAGCCCCTTTGGACACAAAGTCCAACTAAACCTCTTTCCATCCAGGTTTTAATTGCCTCATCCACAAAATATTTACATGGTGTTGGTTTGTAGAGACAGGCTCACTGTGACTGTGGTGCTGCCAGAGCAGGCAGCAGGTCCAGCACGGATGGGGTCTGATCTAAGCCTCTCTGGGGCTCTCAGCTACTCCAAACCACAGCTAGCCTGGGCTATCCTGGCCTGCTGGGATATTAATAAACACAATCCTGAGGGATCTCTGAATCTCACAGTCTAGGTCACCTCTCTCCCCACAACCCTTTCTGGTGCTCTGTCCCAGCAGCAGCTCTCAAGGAATGCTCCTGTTCTTGGAAATGCCATCAGGGCAATACTGTTTCTAGGTGTCTGTCCACAGAAGGTCATGGGAATTTAAAAATGTACTAGGTTTTGCAGTTGTTTACCATTTTTCTTCAATTATTGATTTTGCAAAATGTTCTGTCAAGTTGTAGGTGCATTAAAATCTGCAGGGGTGTTGCTGTCTAACAGCTCCCTAATGCCCTGCACCCACTAACCTCTGCGAGGCTTTCAACTGCTGTTTTCCTCCTGACTCCTTTGGAATATTTGGTTTGGGGTTTATTTGATCCCTCATCTCTTCCCTGTGTCTTTTGCTCATATTTGTTGTCTTATTTCTTATTTCTTTTCCTGCAATAACACATGGGGCAGTGTAAGACTCCAGAGGTGCAGTGCTCCTTGGCAGAGGTGAGGGGCAGGGAGAGTGGTTTGGGGGGGCCCTGCAATTCCCTCTATAGCACCGAGATTTCCATCAGCTCCAAAGGCCAGGAGAAAAACATATTTCTGGGGCTCCAGGGGAATGCTGCTGTGATGCAAATTGAGAAAGCTGTGCCATATGCCCCCTCACAGCCTCGGCAGCCCAACTGGCACAGCCCTGGTGGGGCATGCTGCGACCCACTCCCTTTCTGCAGGTTTCATTTGAAATCTCAGCCTGTGTGGGTGGAGGAGACCCCAGAGCTGCAGTGATTTATTGCAGCAGAGAGGCTTGATATTTTTAACAGCATCACTGATGATGGATGAGACAACAACTTGCTCGGAGGCTGCACAAGCCTATGCAGCCATTTCCTCCTGAGGGGTGATTTCAGGGAAATGAGATACTGTTTCACCTGAAATATTTTTCTCTCTGCTTTTAGGTTGAGGGAGGATTGAGCCTTAAGCTGAAAAGTCCATTTGCAGGAAAGAAGCAGGTTGTGATTTGGAGGCTGGGTTTTACAGAAGGGATGCTGGCTCCCAGGTTTGAGTGGAAGAATTTGGAAGGTGCATTTCTGCAAAACACAAGAGTGTTACCACATCTGGGAGAGGATGTGCTCCAGACCTAAGGATGGTGTCCTACTCTGTTCCTGTGTAGCCATGGGAGGAGACCACTTGAACTAGTATACATCACACCAGGGAACAAAATCACAAGTCCTCATTTTGTTGCAGAAAGGTGGCCCAGGAGGATTTTCCATGAGAGCTGCCACTGCTATGGAAGTTCATCCTGGGTGCTTTTGAAAGATAAGCATCAAAGTTTTCTTTCTTCTCCTCCTAGAATAGGTCTGGAACAGGCCTGTTCAAGCAGGATCTCTCACACTGGTTTTCCTTGTTTGAAGTGAAATTGTTTTAACGCTTTCAGCAAGCCACCAGCCCCATGTGCAGTGCCAGCCGTGCGGAAGCATGCCAGAACCCATGTGAGCCCAAGAGGAATGGCAGATCTGGGAGACAGGCTTCCCCTCTCCTGATTCTTGCTGCAACAGCCCCACAAGCACATTTTGCCAACAGGCACAGACCAGCCCCCACTAGCCCTGGAGCTGTGTGGTGCAGCCAGGGCTGGGGCAGTGCCTGTGTGCTCCCCCAGCCTGGCAGCAGCTCTGCTCCTGGGGATGCTCAGCTGGTGCATCAGGGATGCACTGTGGCAGTGCCTGCTGAGCATTTCCTTCTGCTTGTTTGTGATTGCTGTGAGCTGTTGAGTAGAGGGACGGTAATTGCTAAAAACTGGCCGTGCAGGTTGTGCGCTCCTAATGTAGCCCATTAGTCTGCAGTGAGCATCAGCAAGGCCGGGGTGGAGTCCCTCACCCCAGCCTCGAGACTGAAATGTCACAGCTCACAGGTTTCAGGAGGAAGCTGCTGTGTCCTACTGAGCAGGGTGCCCTCATCCCTCTCATCACAAGAGCTGCCAAACCAGAGCTCAAAGAGCAGAAGTTCTTTGTGACACTGACAGCAGATTATCTATGTGATTGTGCTTCAGCTCTTAATTCACCCTATGCTTTGCCAAAACACCAGCCTGCTGCCACAGCTTTTGACTGTGGTGCGATTCCACTGGCTTCAGTGGGACGGAGTCTGATGGCCAAAAGGGCAGGGGTTAACCGACCCCATCTCCTGGAGATGAGGCATCGAACTTAACAGTGAGAGTTTCCCCTTGGAGCTGGCTAGGGCTGAATGTTCCCGGTGGATAGCAACCTTTGAGCAGGAATAAAGCCCTGCTGAGCAATTCAAGAAAAGTTAGACTACTCTGTCATTTAAATTAGGTGACTAAGAGCAGACCACTTCTGGAGCCAAGGCACCTGCCTGCTGTGCCTGTCACCACAGCTAGATGTCTGCTGTTGAAAATGTGTCATTGAGGCCAAGGACTGAGCTGGGAGCTCAGCACTGCCTTTGCTGCAGATGATGGGGAGGTTGCATAAAGCAGGAGCTCGTGCTTCTCCTTTGTGGGGTTTTGCTTTAATGCACCAAAATTTCCACTCTACAGTGCTCAAAATCTTTACCAAAGCCAGATTAACATCTGTTTGTCACATTGCTGCAGGACATTCTAAAGCACAAGGACCTTGAGAAAAACCAATGGAGCCTTGGGAGAAACCTCTTTGGCCTTTTCCTGGCTGAACTTTCTCCAGATTAATCCCAGGCTTGGTTTGATAGAGGGAGGAAAGGTGCAGGCTGGTTCTTATCTGTATAACACTTTGAGTTCCTGGCTTTCTTCCAGTGCTGAAGGGTTCTTTTATCACACCTTTTTATTGCCCACACCAGTGTGATCTTTGGTGCCCATAGCAGTGCCCCAGGGAAGAGGGAAGCAACTTTTACTGAACATCTCCCTGGATGAAGCCTGACCTCTGGAAATCTGATTTTTCTTTACCTTTGGTGAAAGGAAAAAACTGAGAATTAGTGCTTTATTTAAATATATACTTCTGTACCATTTTTTTTAAAATGAGTGTTTTTGAAGTTTCATTGAAGATGTTGTCACTGTAATCATTATATTTCTATAGAGATTATAATGACTCCTTTTGAAGAGTTAGTCTCAGTCAGTCAGTGCTTAATTCACATATCAATGACTCCATAAACCCTAAACGCATAAATCTGCTAAAATTGCTCAAACCTATTGTGCTAATGAATGCTTGCAGGGGCTCATCATTGCAGAGAGAATTCACTTAGGGAGCTGCCCCTATGAGGGTGGGTGGTCGGTGGTGGCAGAGGGGCCTCATCTCTGTGAGGCAGCTGAAGGTTTTATAACTGGGCCATGCTCAGGGCAAGCATTAGAGCCCAGTCACTTTTTTTGGTTGATTTGCTCCAGACTATTTCATGTGCAGTCCATCAGTCTGACCCTCAGAATCTTTGCCATCATGTGGAGAGAGCTGGGCATCATTTCTGTGTGATGCTGGGGTGAGTGGAACCAGTTGGTGTAGAAATCATGATGTCATTTTGTTCAGAGTGAACTGGTTAAGCCATAGCTGGTTATTAAGCCAACAAAGGCAGTATCCAGTTATTAGAATGTTTGCAA